CTTGAGACAGACAATTTGGTGCAGCCTTAAGGGATCAGGCTAGAAACTAGGAGAGTATGTATTCTAGTCCTGCCTTAGGCACAAAGCCAGCTGGGTGACTGGGCTAATAACTTTCTCAACCTTATAAAGGAGGCACTTCTGAGAAACCTTGTCGAGAAAACTACAGGGACTTGTCCAGGAAATCTCTGAGCACTGGACAGAATTAAATGAAAGAAAAAAAAAATGGATATCTTATCCCAGTGTCTGGAGGCTCCTGCTTGAAGAACAGGTAGTAGCCATGGCTAAGAGGGCTTTTTTACAGCTTTGTGTTGTTCATTAATTATACCTATTTTTGGATCAGGAGAGGGGAGGCTCTGTTCACACTTAGTCATACCTTGGTCACCACATTGGATTAGATTGTGGGAACTCATACCACTAGCAATTTGCATTTTTCAACCAATTTACACGTGCTTAAATGCTAGACTGAACTGTATTATTTGACAACAATATAGGCATGCTTGTATATGTATAAATGACTAGAAACTACTTACCGATTCTGGCACACTTCCAAAATATGCCCAATAATCTGAAAATATATGTTTTTATTTTTACTATGATTAGAAGCAAATTACAGTATTACAGATACAACAGCAAAGACTAATATCCCAATACTTATTTTTAAGGAATTGGAAATCTGCTAATATTTTTCATGTTCTAAAATGCTTTTGAATTGCTACAAATGCCATAACAAGTGACACAGCACACAATTTTAAGTGTTGCCCTGTAAATCTTGAGTTTGCTCATTTAGTTCAAAAATGGATATTATAGCCTGTTGTTACAATAACACTGTTGTATGATACAGCTGATTAACCTAAAGCTCATTAAAGCATCATTTATTTATTTATTTATTTTATTTGTTAAATTCATTTCTTTCCTATTTCCATGGTGTTACTTTACAATGGCATCAAAGGCCACTGAAAGATCAGGAAGAGCAAGAATGGTTGCACTACCCCACCCTGCTCCTATCAGAGATCATCCATGAATGCAATCAAAGCTGTCCGTCCCATAGCCAGGCCTGACTCCTGACTGAAAAGAGTTCAGGAAATCTGTTTCAACTAGGATCCCCTGTAGCTGTTGAGTAATCACGTTTTCCACGACCTTCCCAAAAAAGGAAGATGGGAGACTGGACAAAAGTTGTTCAGGCAGGTGGGGTCAAGTGTTGGGTTTGTAAGGAAAAGACAAACCAAGGCCTCCTTAAAAGGTCCTAGGAATGTCCCCTCATGCACTGAGGAATTTATCACTTAAATGTGAATTCCAGAGGTTTCCAGAAGTTGCAGCCAAATTTTTATTAATGCTTTAGAGAAAATTATTTAACAATTGCAGTATACTAAAATATATTTAAATGGTAAAAATAGACATCAAATTACATTTTTTGGCTATTTTTTAATTTGGCTTTTAAAACCTAATGGCCTTCTTCATACCAGGTTGCTTGGAAATTCAATTTAGCTTCTGCAATCATTCTTAAACTCCTGAGTTTCAAAGAAAAGACATGGTGTCAAAAATATAGAGTGAACTCTATGAAGGATGTGCTACTTTTATTGCTTATTTTAAAATGATACATAAGGAAGTTTTATTTAGAAAGAGAGTTTTTAGATCGGGCATTTTAGCTTAATTAGTGTTTTACTGAATAAGTATTAAATAAGTTATTTTACATATTTATTATGTGATTTGTACATTGTCAGCTTCAAACTAGGTTTCAGCTACTTACAGTCATAAAAATGCCAAATAAAACCACAGAATTGTAAAATCTCCATAAAATAATAATAAAAAACAATATAGAACACTGAAGGATGACATTAACTTTTAAATTATTTTCTCTAATGGTCTAAATAGTGAAGTCTCATACTTCTTAGAAAGTAGGCTCCATTTTAAAAAAATGAAAATGTTCTGTGACTTATACTGTAATTAAGCTTTTGAGGATTAAGAATGATTTGTATTAATGAATCAATGTAAAAAAGTCAACATAGTAAAATTAAAAATAAGCAAGCTTACATGCATATGCTTTCCCCAAATTTCTAGAAATGCACATACCCTGTTTTATTGTTATCCAGTAATCTGGGAGCCAAAGATCTTAAGTATGCACATGTACATATAAGCAGTAAGATTACTGTCAGAAGACTCTGAAAATTGAAGATCGCAGACTGAAAGAAAATGTAATATATTAGTTACTCACCAGTTTTTAAAAGTTCTCTTTACTATATTAATTTACTTCTTCCCATAATACACAAATAAGAAATTGAATAGCCTATTATTATTTATGTTATAATTCTAATATATCCATTCTATCTAAAGCAAGAAGCAATGAAATACTAGACAATTTCTTTTTCAATATTGAGAATTTCATTCATAAATTACTTGCTTTGCAAATTAAAATCTTAGTTTGTATTCTATTTCAATAGTCAAAATGTTTGTTGGGTATCATGATCTGATTACAAACTTGGGCTTTTAAGCAAAACTTGGAATATACCAATCTAAAAGTAAGGGAACACTGAGTTCTAGTTTCATCTTAGGTATGAATCCAGCTGTGTGACCTTGGGCCAATCATACTCTCTCAACCCAACCTATCTCACAGGGTAGCTGTTGTGGGGCAAACAGGAGGAAGTTGTGTTGGATATGTTCACCTTCTTGAATTATTTGTAAAAATAATAAAGATGGGATACAAATAAATACTCTTGTCTTCTCAGTAAGAGATGACTGCATAAAGTCATGAGAAAGGGGCAGATTTTGCTCTTACCACGACAGTATCTCAAAGTGCAGTACAGAGTGAATCAAGTCATATATAATTTAGATGTAAACCTGGAGAGCTCAGGATATGTTTTATGTGCAGAAAGGCCCAGCTGTAATCCTTGACATCTAGTTTGGGTTCAGAAAGGCCAAGTTGATTTGTGCTTTAAACCTTGAAGAATTGATGCCAATCAATAACACTTATACTTGGCAGTCTCATTTGTTGTAATAGGTTTGTCTGTTCTCACAATGGATTCTAATTTTTTCAATCAATCAATCAAAATAGTGCTGGAAGGAACCTTGGAGGTCTTCTAGTCCAACAGTGGACCTATACCATTTTGAATAGTGCACAGTGTGGAAATTGAGATTCCGTCTTATGCCCCGAAAAGACAGGGATTTATTTGAACATGTGACTTCAGATATTAGTTTGAAGTAAGCCAGTTAGAATTGTCAATTCACACACTGTGTCATTGAACTAAGTGAGGAACTTTTTTGTCGACCAGATCTACAAAAATAGTTCTTACAATCAGTGCTGCTAAACAATTCTCAATCCTTCCAAGGATCTATTTCAAAAGACAAATTTTTCTTGCTACTTGACATGCTTAGGATTGTATTTCTTCTTCTTTTAAGGACCTCCTGACTCAATACCTATTATTTCCGTGATGTTTCTGCCTGCCATAGTGCAATTAAGTTTGTAATTAAATATAACTGATACAACTGTCCTAATTAAATGTCACAATTCTTTCACTTTCTGTCCCCTATTTTTTTGCCTCAAATGTAATAAAAGGAGGCAAAACAAAATATACAATACAAGCTGATTTTAAATAGATATGGAAGGACACACAACTTAATGCAGCATAATTATCTCCATGTAAATACATCTTACAAAGTTATTGATTCTAATGTTGTATTGTTTTGGAAGGCTTCTTAACAAGTACTGCACCACATTTTCTTCTTGTTTTTGCTCCCTGTTGTTACGTCTTTGTTGGGGGGGGAGGATTCTGTCATTTTTAAAAAATCACATTAGCCGTGTTTTATCTGTTGTCATATTGCACACTCCACAAAGTGCTGAGATTCATCAGACTGCAGCACAGTACAGGTTGAAAACTACAGTAGATTCTGCTTTGTGTTTTAGAAACAGTGATCAGCAAACAAGGCACCTAAATATTTTGCCTGGCATCTCTAGAACTGGTGTACAATTCTATGTAGAAAATATTTGTTTAGGACACCAGGGACAAGAGACAATGAAATCAAAACGTGAATCTTTTAATTGCAACAACTGTGCAAATTGACCACAAATGCTTTCAATACTGGTTACAAATGCAATTTTTCGACGAAAAAATAAAACCAAGGTATTACACTTCTTCGAATAATATAAAAGCAGCAGGCACAGAGGTAAGATAGGCAGTAAACAAACGCTTTTACTGCATACATACAGAGGCCTGTGTCTACACACAACCCATTTTTATCCACGATTAACTTAAACCGCAGTATTACTGCACCCTGAATTACAAAGGCAAGATTCGCACAAAACTGTTGAGGCACAAACGAGCCTAGATTTCGCCAACTGCAGTTTACACAAAAGAAGACGACGGGGAAGAGTAAGAAGTGATGCTCTCTTTTTGAGCCATCACCTTTCACGAAGTCGTCATCTAGGCCTCTTTTGCAATGCCAAAGGCGGGCGAGGCTACACTTGGGGGGAAAAAGGGGCCACAGCGGCGTTCCACGCGTGTTATCGGGCCATTCCCAAGGGCGCGCCCGCCAAAGGAGCCGCAAGGCCCGGCCGCCCGTGGCTTCCAAACTGGAGGCCTCTTTCCCGAACGCCGCTCTTACCATAGTTACGCGCCGCCACGAGCCACATCACACTTCCGGTAACCAGGGGGGCGGGATCTGAAAGAAAGATGAGCCTCAGGCGCCTGCCGATTGGACGGAGTAGAGACGCCGACGAGAAAGTGTCTGGCTTGTGATTGGAAGAAAGAGAAAGTGAGAGTCACTGAGCCTGGGAAAGGAAGGGACGGCGGTAGGTTCTCGATAGTTCATTTATAAAAAGAAAAAGCAAGGCCATTTATGTGTTCGTGTGCGTGCGCGCTTCTGTGTACGCATAAACACACACCACACACAGGCGGAGTTTACGCTTAAAAAACGGAAGTGGAATTTTTCAGTGCTGTTCAAGGTAGGAAAGGGAGGGTGGGAGCAGTAGCGCGATCGCATTTGTTGCAGCGCTCTTATTGTTACACTGATTGTATTTATTTCCCCCCCTCCCGCCCCGGCTCCTTTTTATATATATTATATATATAAAACTCAAGGCGGAAAAGATACTTTTCCTAGTTATTCTTCCTCTCAGATGTTTTGTGCAGGGAGGAACCGGCACAGTTGGAGATACACAAGACACACAGGGACACACACACCCCCCCCCAACCCCCCCCGGCCACACTCATGGCATTTGATATAAAAGGTGTGCGTATATCAAGAGTACCAGTGATGCTCTCTCCGGGTCAGAGCTTCATTAACAATTTCTTGGCATTTTTCTCTCATTGGTTCAACACTGGTCCCATTTCTGCTTCCCCAAGCCAAATATGAGCTTCCTTCTTGTGTCTGCATGTGATTGTGAGGTAGCATAGGGTAAGAAGATTTGGTGGAGAAAGGTTACACCTTGTGAATTTGTGACTCGAGGACGTTTGAGAACTCAAAGGTGTCACAAGTGGGCTGAGGAATAGTGTTGCATTTTTATTTTTCCCAATACCTATTTTTTTTCTCTTCCTAACCTTGCAAATTGGGAAAAAGAAAAGTGAAAACTTCTCCTAAGTGATTCATTGGCATTTGTGAGTTGGTTGACAGAAGTACGCTTTCTATGTCACAGAAACTCTTGTGTTTTCTTACAAAGTTCTGATAGGTGAGCTGGTAACTTTTTATCAGGGCTTGTTTTATAGAACAGATTGATTCAAATCTCTGATCTGTAGCTTGTATATTGATAAATTTTGAAGATATTTTATTGATGCTTGATTTGGCCTATCTGATCAAATTACTCTATCAATCAACCACTTACTAATGGTCAAATTCCTCTTATTGTTTGACTTTCAAGTTAGTGACTACTTCCTTATATTTTCTTTTGCCATCAGTTGAATTTTTGTTCCATTAGTCATAGCACTGAAAGTTGATTGCCCCCACTTTCCAGTATTTCACAGTATTTCAACATCAAACTACCCAGAAATAAACATTAGTGAAATAAATCATAAATAGGGATATGATGACCAAATCTGGTATTAATATGCATCTTTTAAGTATTTTCTTTAGTTTTATACTGCTTCCTTTAGGCTGTCTGCCATGGCCTAGATTTTTTTTCCTGGTTAGTCATTTTAAGTATACATGCAGAGTTGGAAATTTTGTTCCTATGCATCATTATAAACTTACTTTTATTGAACCAGATTTTCCATTTTATTGCCTGATGTTCATAGATGTTCATACACAAGTTTTAATGTTCTGTAAATTTGATCCCAACTGCAAACTTGACCATATGATTTGTTAGTGGTAACTTTAGATAATTTATAATCTGAAGTACAGGCCTAAAAAGGATCTTTGGAGGATGTCCTCCACTTGCTTTTGGTATATGATTATAAAAACTGGTCATTTAGTCATACTGTTTTCCATTTTAAAAAACATTTCTATTATCTCATAGCTACTGAATTTATTCAAAAGCCTTTGACGAAAGATTTTGCCAAAATGTTTTTTAAAAGTCTTCAAGTATATAATGTCTCCCATATTGTCCAATCCAGATACTTTTGAACACTTCCAAATAAGTTTAAACATCGGTACATGAGATAGGACTTATATCTGTAAAGACTGAAGATTCTGCCTCAACAAACATTTTGTTCTTAATAATCCTTTTTTACATGAAACAAGATAAGGTAATACACTAAGAAAAAATACTCTCTCGATTTCTGTTCAACTGACCTTTTCCATTTTTGCAAAGGCCACCAACAGAACCAGCACCATGTCTGCATTGGGGAAATTAAGGGCAATAAAGTGAAGATTAAAGTCCCACTTCTTTTTAATATGGGGCCATGCACATTGCATCCATAATAAAAAAAGGCAGGACTTTGCCTATTCACACCCTCTCTTTTGGTGCTGTTGACTTCCCTGTGGATATTCTCCAAATATTTATTTGTTATAAAATTAGTTATGTTTATGTAGATATGAACTGGCACAAATACATTGTTAAAAAGCTGTAGAAGTGGTTCTTTTCAGCAATCTTTCTCACGTTCCAGCTGTGCCAATATAAATCCAGTCTGTTCCTGGGCGCAAAACAGCTTTCTGATCTTTTTGTCTTGTGATGCATATTAGTCTATTTCAGCTCCTCTAATGTTTTTTCTTCAATTCTTGTCTTCTAACTGAATATCACTGATATGATTCTGTGCCATTATTTACACTTGAGTCATACTGTACTGATCTTTGACCAGATTCCAAATGATGGTATCCACAGACGAGTTCATCCTTGATTACAGTCAGTACATCTTGTGGTTGACTTAATCTCTTACTGTGCCCACTGTCCTAACATGACATCACTCTGCAGACAAGGCCTGCCTTTTTCATTCTTATCCGCACAGCATGGTATAATTCTTGCCAGATTCATGTTCTTCTGTTTCTTTTCTTCATCCTTTAAGCCAGTCTTTTTCTGCAACCAAACTCCTCTTCTTCAGAAACAACTTATAATAATTCTTCTAAATAAACCAAGAAGCCAATAATAATAATTACCTCAGTAATCTCTTTTCTTAACCTTAAATACTAAAATTCTAAAAAAGAAGGAAGGAAAAGGGGAAGGGAAGAGAAGAAAAGAGAAGGGAAGAGAGGAATTATTACTCTAAAATGCTGATTTCCTTTTTTATCTCATTTTTGAATCAGATAACTTTTTAATCATGTTATAAAAAGGTTCATTATCTCCAGGAATAGGGTACACATAACATATCAATAATATCCTAGTGTCTATGTTCTCTGTTGGATACTTTGGAATGGTAAGAACAAAAAATCAGGTCTTATTCTATATTTGCAAGAAATGTCTCTCTTTTGGTGTAGCAGAGACCATTTTCTATCTTTCTGTCAGTCATGATGTTATTTCTTTCTTTTTCAAATGAAAAAGAATCTATTTTCTTTATAAGTTGGTGTAACATTTAGACCACATCCAAGATTGTTTCCATTTTTATTATTAATTAGGCTTCTTTTATTAAAAAATAAATAGTAAATTGGATTGGTAAATTCCGATTTGAATGTTTAACAGAAAGTCATTTAAAATGATCCAGCAATGTTATGTGACTATGAGAATAAAGAGCAAATTAAATTCATTCAGTACACAGTGGAATACAGGTGGCAGGAAATGGATCGTAGCTGAGTTTAAGCATTTGACAAGTGTTGGCTTTGATTGTTTTCAATAGATCCAAAAAATTTCACAACATAAATTTCTAGGAACTGAGCTTTGTATTAATATATTAATATAATATATTTTATTACTTTGGGTCTATCATCTACTTTAAAAGTAACTGTGATTTTCTATTGAAAAAAAAAGAAAACCTGAAATTTAGACTTCTTCAGATGTTTTGATAAAAGGAATATTTAAAATCATATCAACATGTTTTCATTCCTTTACAGTTTTTCATTTAATGCACATTGTACATTTTCATTGTGAAAATCAATATTACAGTTATATTTGAATAAGTGCTGTGAGTTGATGTTAAATTAATATAAAATGGGAGAGAAATACAATATAATTCAGAAATGTAGGTATTTTAACATTGTAGTATTACAGGCATTTTTGAAGAGGGAGAGAATTCAGCAGATCTTTAAATATAAATATACCATTTATATTTAAAGTTCTGCTGAATTTTCTCCCTTTCTTGCTATTAATAGCAGCAAAAATACCATTTTGATGGATTTCTTGGGTTGTTTGGGGGGATTGCATCCTTTTAATCTTCAGTTTGGTTGTATATAAAACGTTATGTGTAGTTAATAAATTGGAATTTGGCATTTATAGTCTACTTCATGAAGTCGGACTAAACAGTTGGACTAAATTTAAAATTATGTTATTGAAATTGCCATTAATATGACAAATATTGAAAAATAAACATTTGTTATTTTTATTTCATGTTTTAGATAAGCATATTTATCATTTTCATGTTTTGGACGAACATATCTTTCTGTCAAATTTTGATGGAAATTTCTGATTTTCCTTCATATTATGCAGCAATTGCTGGCAAAGTTATACTGTGTATACTGAGTTTCATTTTGAAGCTTGTATGCTGCCAATACTCAAGTATTTGCAAGAACTTTTTAGGTTCCTGAGGAAATCTAATGGATTCCATCCATGATTCTTCTCCCTTTAATTATGGAATATAACCTTACAGGATGATTCAAAATAAATTGGAAGACTTTGCACAGCTGTATGTATGAAATTCTGAAAATGTTTTATGTGAGATTCTATGATTGCTATGGCTGATTTGAGTTTCAAAAGCCTGGGAGAAATGAATAAAAAAACACTAAAGAAGACAATGGAGGAGTAATCAGCAGCTAATACTCTCTTACAGCAGGGGTGTCAAACTCAAGCCCCGGGGGCCAGATCCGGCCTACAGGATGCTTAGATCTGGCCCACGGGGCTGTCTGGAAACAGCAAAGGACCAACTCGGGGCACCTCTGCCAATGAAAATGGAGCTCGGGAAGCTCTCCTTTTCACTAGCAGAGGGTTGCAGGAAGACGTCGCAGCTGAAAATGAAGCTCGGGAGCCCATTTTTGCTGATAGAGCGCTTGGGATGCCACATGCGCCCCCACACGAGTGACATCAAACTGGCACACTCACCCTGGCCATGCCCACTGTAGAGTTGTAATTGCAGGAAGGTCATTGACGGCAAACCTCAGATAAGGACAAAAGCAAATACAACTCAGACAAACAAAATCATTAATGCAAAGAAGGATTAGAGAAAGGAAGTAAAGTGTTAGACTTTAACTAGAGATAATTAATTGTGTTAATTACTATGCTAGACAGTAACAAAGGCTGATCAACAACCAAAGTTAACCAATGTTAGAGGATTACTAGAAATGTGTATAAATACAAGACTAGACTCCAATAAAGTCATCATGATTCATGTGATCATGATCAAACACCTCGACTGCCTCGTCATTACAACAGCCCACCCTGGCCCCCCAAGGTCAAACACAATCCTGATGAGGCCCTCAATGAAACCAAGTTTGACACTCGTGTCTTACAGTATTTATCCAAAGGCTGAAGGGCAGTTGGTTAAGACTAAAGCCTGTATCAACACCCAGGAACATGCTGCATGAGAAGAGGGAGGTGATGGGGATCAGATTTTTATTCTTCTCTCTCTCTCCCTCCCTCCCTCCTTCCCTCTCTCTCTCTCTCTCTCTTTCACACACACACATAGGGAGGGAGGGAGAAATCAAGGCAGTGAACATACCTAATACTCCTGCCTCCCATTTCCTGTCTTGTGAGATGAATTGGCCTGAGAGTGACTGGACCAGTCCAGCTGTTTTTTCATGCTTAAGGCAAACTTAGAATTCACAATTTCCTGATTTCTAGGCCACTTTACCATTATACCAAATTGATTCTCTTGCTTACAACTGTGAGTCTGATTAACTGATATGTAGGATTCCATCACTCCCTGTTTTGTTTGTTGAGAAGTTTAACTTTAC